CTTACTGAAAAATTTAGCCGCGTCTTCACAAACAACAGAATTTCATATTTCCCCCTAACCTCTATCTTTCTAAAGCGAGTGTTGCATACACAGGCTACATGAAAGGAAGACAGAAGTGAATGTGATGGCTGAGAGTCTACGTTCGTTCTGAGAACGTAAACGTCGTCAGAATCACAGGGCCCGTCTTACCTTATCTTACTCTGACCAAATGTGCTGAAGTCGAAGGGCGAAAAGCTGTCTATAGCTGTCGTATGCCAGATCGTCGGCCACACTCATATGATAGCCCTGGTTTTCTTTATTACTTAAACCGGTCGCATATTCGGTATACTTAGTCACAGCCAGGCGAACGGGAAAGCGAACAATATGATGCTGCGTTCACGTCAACGTAACGTGGAAACCTCTGCAGAGTGTTCATATACCGGGCACATGCGGTCTACTAAATGATAAAGGCGTACTATACGCCTACTCCACATTTATATCCCTGCAATGATATTCAAATGCAAAACAAAATTTGGCGAAAGTCGTTAATAATGCATTTTATTGACTTTGTAAGTAATGCAGTTTTAGTGCACTCCTTTTAATTAGCTAAAGGCAAACGGTTTGACTGTTTTGTCGAATATTTTATGAGGCAGAGAGTAACTATTTAGAATGATACATAAGCCATACTTACCGATAAGTAAACCTATGTGAATTGCAAATGTAATTTAACCATGTAAGATTTTGCTTCTCATATGAATTCATGTTTTGTGGACCATGTAGGCAGAGAGAATGTAACTGTAGATGAGTTTGGGCTTCTTCAGGGTTAGAGGGGGCATAGTACCGCATATATTTATATTTTCAATCAACTCTAAGGACACAAATTTTTAGATATTGTCTGCATGTGGTGGTCACGGTAGCAATGAGGAAATTTAAGTATACTATAGTGCTACTTTATGTATTTCATGTTTATGTAAATACTTGATTTAGTTGGTAATTTCAACGAGATATTTATGTACATATATTTACACGAATATATTTAAAGGTATTACATATGAAATCAAAATATCTTTATTGCAGAAACACGCACAAACTTTACAAATTGATGTCCTAATTAGATTATGTTCTTCCAAAGGGAAAGAAGAGATTAGAATAGTAGATATTAATAAGGTAAATTCTAACTTGTGTATTTAGAAAAAACATGTCAAATTTTGTTAGCTCGAATTTAAGTAGAATCATTGGAATTGCTCTTGAATATAAATACTCCTGATTAAATTAATCTGTGTACTTGATCCGATATTTATCAAATACCCCACTCTTTTTTGCCAAAGTCAGATCTCTACGAAGTATGTCCCACGACGGGATAATCATGGATGGATAAATGTCAGGAATAAAATGAGCCAGTTTTGTACTCCAAGTAATATCTTTTTTCCCCTGAAGGAAAGGCATATAGAATGCCGGGGGTTCCTCGAGTATCCGTCTGCGGTCATCTTCGTACTCCAGGATTTGCCTGATGTATTCGTTCATGGTGGAGTTCGTGTCAACCAAGCTTCTGAGTAGATCGAAAAAGTCATCAGGTTCCAGTACATCGACCTTGACTCCCAAATCTTTAGCTAGTTCATCAAACTCGCGTTCGTCACCTACAATATACAAATTCTTAGTTAATTCTACCCAGCAACACAAATACAATATCTACATTAAAAACTTACCCAAGTCTGGATTAATCACGTTGTACATTTCATAAGGTGTGTCCTCCATAAAGAACAATCTCAGCGAGTATTCCGCACATAGATCGACCGGCATCATGCAGATGGGAACTTTCTCAGCTATCATATACCCGAGATGCATATAAGCCAAGAACCGCGTCATTAGGAAGTTTTCTAGAGAAATATTTCCACCAATTTGGCTATCGCCACCAATATTCGGCATGCGGAAAACTTTGCAAGGAACACCCCGAGAAACTGCTTGTTCTGCAAGATTGTCACATATTAATTTAGAAATTATGTAAGCAGAGTTGGGAAATTGATCAACTTGTTCTAGATTAGGCCACGTTTCCTTTTAAATCTCATCTTCCCCTAATTCTTGTTCGGCTCCGATGGACGAAACTTGGTAGACGTATTTCAATTTGTTTGCCACAGCAAATTCGAGGATATTCTTAAACCCTTGTACGTTTATTATTCTGCTGCTGTGCGGGTTTTTCGTATTACTATATCTTTCAGGAAGGGTTACGTTGACTGCTAAATTGAGTACTGCATCTACTTCAGAAGATATTTTGGAGTAGGTTGTAGAATTCATCCCTATCAATTCTTTTCCCACATCCCCTGTTATCGTTTCCACCCAACCTTCCAAGTCTTCAATGGAGAGTATATTTTTGGCTTGCATACATCGTCTGAAGCGATCATCGGTTGAAAGTAAAGAATTTGGTCTCAAAAGGCAATAAACTTTTTTAATGTATGGATACTTGTATCGTAATTCTCGCAGTATATACGGGCCGAGGGTACCTGTTACCCCAGTAATTAAAACCGTCGAAATATCGTTTATGGGACACAAAGTGGATACTATGTCGTAACCAACTTGAATCGTATCCGGTAATTGTGCATCTTGAATGACTAGTTCCTTTAGTTCAGATCGGGTGAGGTTCGGGATTGATTCATTTCCAGAAATGAGGTCCACCAAACGGGCGGATAATTCTGCAACTGTTTTGCAATCCTTAACTGAATTGATTGATATTTTAACTCTCTTCCCGACAGATGATTGTAATCCATTTTTCATTTCCACCATCATCAAGGAATCCATTCCCAAATCTTGAAAATTTGCATGGTCGTCAATTTGCTCATTTTCGTTCATTTGTAACGTAACTCGTATAATCTGTTTTACATATTTGCGTAAGATGTTTTCACGCGCCTCTATTCCAATAGCTGAGTCGTACTCTATCCAAAATTGCTCGCCATCAATTTGTTGTATCCTAGATGCCGACTCGTCATAAATATTTGCAAGTAACCCTCTTACTGAAGGTAGAAATTTCTTTAAAAAGTCACTAACACCAGCAATTCCCCCAGGCTGTAGAATTTCTTTAAAGTCATTTCGCCACCAGCCGCCAAATACTCCGGTGATAGTATTCTTTAAGGTTGATGGGTCAATGCAGGCATCCTCCAAGGCTTCCCATACAACCTTAAGTGCAATACGTTGCTGCGGGTCCAGATATCTCAAGTCGGCTTGATTCGTGTTAAAGAATTTTGCATCAAACATATCCAGTGGGCAAGATAAAAATCCAGCCTCTGTTTGGCGGACGCCATCCATCATGATAAAGGCACTATCTTTTGTCCACCTCCATTCTGGGACGCGTACAATTCCATCGATTCCGTTTTCCAATAATGACCAGAATTCGTCAATATTGTTCGCACCTGGATATCTGCAAGCCATCCCGACAATTGCGATTGAGTTACAAAGTTCGTTTTCCAGCATTTCAGAAATAGGATCAAACTGTAAAATGATTGTTAGGTAATTAGTTCATAAAGTTAAGATTATTCGGGTTTATTACTAAATCTTGTGTATATTGAGGAGAGCTTTCACCATCTGCTAATTTTCCAGTTTTTTCCTTCAATACATGTCGTGGAGATTTGCATTTCATGATAATAATATATGTATATATTATATATGAAAGAGAAGATTTCACATTGAGTATCATTGAGAAGTAGTTGATCTATTTATGATAATCAGGTGGGCACAGTGTGTATTAGGGATTTAATGTGTCGACACAAGTTCTTTGTCTCTAACTTTGTCGGAAAATTTGTGTAAGTCCTTCAGTCTGAACGTCGATTTTATTGTGACTTTATTTTACCACCAAAATTATGGCCTTCAGCACTTATTCTCGCTCGTGACTTTATCAGAGTCAGTCACATGTCCCACCAGTCACTCTAAATTAAGTAGTCAAAATTTACATAATTCGTAATGACTTAAGAATTAAATTCACAGTAACTAAAATGAACTTTAATATCCGTGTGACATTCGATCGCCTTATTACCAACAAAACTCCAACTACATAACGAATACCGTCCTCATAATTATCCTTCACTGCACACTAATATCGCATATATTGTTAGAAATCTCCAAATGATTACAGTACATATTACTTCTGTTTCAAATCTTTTGAAAGCCGTAAATTAAAAAAATCCGTCCCTCAAAATTATTCTAGCTAGAGAATTAGTCTAGTTGAAATTTTTCTAGTTGGATGTAATTCGTAGTAAATGAGATATAATAAATGAGATATAAGAAAGAGAAATGAAACTCAAAGTGTTAGATGTCGCAAGATAGAAAACAAATTATTTACCAGTTCTTTAGAACGGATCGGAGATACAAGTGAATTCCAAATTTTCGTCAAATCATACTCAAAGGTGTAGAACTTTTGACATGATACTTCCATGGGATGACCTCCATTCATGAAATACACCATCTTCACATCATCTCCATTAACTGCTTGGGGATATTCGCTGAAATACAGATATTTATTACGTATTCTATAATGTGTCAAATTAATAATATCAGTAATATATATATTTATCTCTACTTTTGTAGTTTTATGTAACTGACTAGGAAATGTTAACCTCTTTACAGTAGGTAAGTTTTCCGTAGAATTCCTCGAGCTGAGCAATACTATTTTTCGTGCAAGTGGTGTCATTTTCATTTTCAATTTCAACAATTTGATCAATCATCATTCCAGTTCTCTTTCCATGTTTCGAGTTGACAAAAATTGCAGCATGACGATGCTCATCCGTGTCGATCCACTGCATACCTTTGTCGCGGAAGATTGAGTCGCAATTTTTCAGAACGAGGCAATTGCAGTCTAGAAATACGCTGCCTTTGAGTTGAGGAATTCGGAGGATGTCAAGTTTTGCCAGTGAGCGGAATTGCAAGTTTCTCCCATCCTTAGGTTTTCCCCTTGGGTTTATACGGCGACAAACTTGAAACTCGGATTTCAGTAGCTCCCTAAATTTAAATGCATAAAATTATTTATAATTCGATTAACAGCATAAACAAACGTCAACTATTGAGGTTCGCATATTATTTAAACAATATTTATCACAATTTGTACACGAATTATCAACGTTGTGAACAATGTTCTGAAAAACAACCTACTTCATCTCCACGCCTTTTAGTAAATCTCTAAAATCAGGTTCATACAATTATTTTTATTTTGATGAACACTTATCAAAATAAGTATTTCAAGGACTTATTTAGTGTTCAGCTATTAAGTTCTTATGTAGGCGTTTAATAACGAATGAATACTATTCTAAAATATATTTGTATAGCATGTACAAATTGTATAATTGAACATATCAATTAGAAATATGCAATTTTAGCACGTTTAGCATGCTATATGGAAACTTCATAAAATTTATTAGTGAGATTTATGAAAAAATATCGCTATCCGCTTTTAGTAGTTATTGTCTAATTTGCAATATTTTACTAATCTAATAAATTAGTTTTCCTTTTCACGCTATTTAATGTCGACTCTGAAATATGCTCCGTGGAACTGCTTAAAGTAACACTTACAATTCAGTTTTATTCATGTAAAAATCCTACCGTGATGAAAACAATTTTGCGTTGTTACGCATCAAGAGTAAGCGAACTCATAATTTGGGAGTTTTTCTAATAAATTTGCTAGAATTTTAGCGTGTGGCGGAGTTTTAAAATATTTACCCCGCCAAGTCTTAGAATTTTAAAATCGCTACAGCTTTTTAATTATTGGAGCGAGTTCAAAATTCTAAAAAGATGTATTTTTTTAATTCCTTCCATTGGAACATAAATTTTTTTATATATTTCGAAATAAAAAAATTGGTGAAAACTCGAATATTAAAAATTTGTAGAAAATTTTAAAATTTAAAATTTAAAATTTTGTTAAGGAAGTAATTCTAAACATGCTTATTTTAGATTTTGAAATCGCGACACAATTCGAAAAGACTATAGCGATTTCAAATCGGTGATTTGAACATTCGAGGTATTGGCTGGGTATATATTTGAAATTCCTGCCACACGCTAAAATTGAGTAAATTTATTAGAAAAAAGGCCATTCGTTAATTTCTGATGCGGAACAAAATAAAATTTTTCGCATGACGGTCGGAGTTATAAACCTGAATTGTTAGCGCAATTAAATCCAATTGTATGACAAACTTAGATATCTACATGGACTCTTTTTAGTTGTATTTATGCGCGTCGTCATGACATGGTGAACAATGTGAAAAATAACTTACTTCATCTCCTGTGATACGTCTTCGGAAATAATGACACCGAGCGGTCTCGTGGTCAAACTTCGCCTTAGAGACCGTCCCAGGCCGATACATTTCCACGCTTCCGCTTCCTTGTCATCTCCGGCGTACGTTATCCACATCTGACTCCCTAAACAGTTGCAGAAAATTAATTCAAAATTGCAAGACTTACCAATTTTTGAATTTCGAAATATACAAAACCCCGAAAATATTAATTTTCAAAATTTTTTAAACTGAATTTTTATATTCCAAAGGAAGGAATTCTAAAAATACATCTTTTTAGATCTTTCGAATTCGCTTCAATATTTAAAAACTATAGCGATTAGAAAATTAGGGAACTAGGCGGGGTAAATAATTGAAATCCCGCCACACGCTAAAATTCCAGTAAATTTTTTTAGCGATCAGAAATGAGTAATTTATTGCCCAAAAAAATATAAAAATGTGATAAATACAGGAATAAAAATAATTCAATTTCTGCAAATTTCGGTAGATTTTTACTTTGTTTCACCTCGAGTTTCTATTTTATTTGAATTTTGCAAAAAGCTTACCAATATCTCCACCCATTCCTATAAGATTAGATGAGAAATATAATTTCCAATCAAATTTATAAATTCGGTAAAACCAAAAATCTTTATTTGAAACAAATTGAAAAAGGCTGGTTTGTTGGATGCTGTTAAATAACAACTGGAACCCCTAATTATTCTTCGGACGCTTAAATACGCAAAAATAAATCTATGAATTAGTTACCGAAAAGTCTGGAAGAAATATAATATTGCGCAACTGCCCTCTCGGTAGAAAGTACAAGTATGACCCGAAATACATACAATCCATATTATTCAGTATACAAATTTGTGTACAATGTGTAAAGAAGATAAACTCAAATATTCTTAAAGCAGACAAATTCCCCAAAATTTTATTTAGATTAGGTAAAGGATAAGAAGTCAGTTTTATGAGCAAAGTACCTCGAAATTCTAATCTCGTAGATATCCAATATATATCGCCACCAAAATTGCATCTGCCTGACTTATGCAAAGTAAAGCCGGTACTTCAATTAACGATCTGGTTTATAATCTCTCATTTTTATTGCATCCGTTCGCTTATGAATTTAAAGGTTTTCTTTGGCGAACTTTGATTTATTTATATTTTAATTGCTCTCTAGGTTAGTAGTGCTTGCAGAATGAAAACAGCTTTACGACGGGATGTACTTCAAATGTGTAGATTTTGTTGGATAAATTGGGCTATAAAATATTATACATTTCGCTAATATGCATGCATTTGATTTGTAGCTTCATCGTATCATCTGCGACTTCCTTGTTCATATTGTTTGCATAAATCAACTGTGATGGGAAAAACTGGGAGAAATTAATTATCATAATCACCACTCACAAGAATTAATCGCCAAGAGGAAAAATTTAAATATTTTACGGAACATTACTTCGCCTAAATTATACAATTCATTGGTTGGAAAAGTTTGTCACGTTTATAATAATTATCACAATTCGTTTCGTAAAATTATGTATGTCTTATGTGTGAATCATTGTGGAAAACTATTTAATTGAGGGACAAGCTACACGAAATGTAGCTTGTCCCTCACTAATGTCGTTCAACAAAAAAGCCAATAGCTCATAAAACCTTAATATTCTTACATAAAAATAATTTCCACGGGTAGCGTTATCCCTGCCGAGAGGAGGAAGAAAGCTCCTGAGAAGAATGTTACCGTACTGCGATACACGAAAGCGTACGTTGGCATGGTGACCAATGGGAGAAGGCTGTCAATCGCGCCCAGTAGTGCGAATAATTTACCGACTTCGTTAATCGCCACCGATTTTGAGAGCATGGATTTAACAACAACTCCAATTGTGCCATTCATCATGTCCAGGACGGAGGCTGTATAAAGTTGTGAAAATTGCTAAATATTTTAGAAGTTAAATCATTGAATTTTAAAATATATAAATTATTCTATTTTTAATATTTCCTATCCAAATGAAAAGTGAAACTGCAACGGGTTTCCCATGGGATGGGAATAAGCGGAAAACGAGAGACAAGGAAAAGCGGGAAATGGATAAGACTGGGAAACTAAGCATCATCCAGTATCCAGTTATCCCAAATTTTTTTTTAATTTTTCCAATTTCCCACAAATTTTCCCACTTTTTTAAACTCTCCAGTAAAAAGAAGCTTTTAGTCGTTACAAACTAAAAATAATGTCCACAGTGAGAATGCGTCACGCAAAAAATATTAGCGTGGCGTGTTTACTCGCATGACTACTTACCGCAAAACATCATTATCCGCGTCGTAGTAAACGCGTACATTGTCGATCCCGAAATCTGGCTTATTCCTGACACAAATCCCACTAGTGGATCGGACAGTTTAAGAGTTTTGCTTAACACAAACATCGAAAGAAAAACCCCACCCGCACTCAGCACCCAGTTAATCATTGAAAAGAACCCAAAATTGCTGATATTCCACTGAAGTCTCTCCCTGACGAAGAGGTACACAAGTGATTGCTCAGCACCTGGCGAAGCGTAGCAAATGTGGGCCAAAATCAGCAAGTAGAACCACAAAGCGTGCTCCCGCTTTTGAAACAGCATCCCAAACACTTGTATCAAATTCGTTACCGGGTTGTATTTTCTCCAGCAAGGTTTGTCCCCGCTATATTTAGCGGTCCTATCATTTTTCCCGCTAAATTTTTCAATCGTATCTCTTTCCCCACTAAATTTTTCCACCTCATCGTTTTCCCCGCTATATTTAGCGGTCCCGCCATTTTCCCCGCTATCGATAAAGACTGCCTCCGGTTTTCCGTTTCTGACCTTCAAGAACACTATAAGAAACGCTAATCCCGATAATCCCACAGGAATTAGTAGCGACTTTACCATTCCGACTTGACACTTCATTAAGAGTCCGCCAAGCATGAACCCGATGGGCGTACTGGATCTCACGGATGCCCAGAAGACGCCCATTCTCACCGTCCTGTTTTTCGGCGTTGTCGTATCGCAAATGTACGATCCCGCCGACATAGAGTACACTGTAGCGCCGCCGCTCAAGGTGGTCGGCAACATGGCGAGAAGTGAGATGTAGACGGCGCTAATTTTTCCGAGGCATAGGTAGCCAACGATCATCATCGTTGGCATTAACATTAATCCCATGGTTGAGATGACGAGGGGAATTTTCCGCCCGTGGGTGTCACTCCATGGTCCGGTGAAGAACACGACGAAGACGGTGATACAGCTGAACACGACGGACGTGACGGCTTGAATACCCGCGACGGCTTTTTGAATTTCGCGCTCCTCTGTTTTGTAAGTGATGTTGCTAAACATATCAGGCTTGAATTAGTAAAAATAAATGGTTGGGTTTTTAAATTTCTAAAATCGATCTCGGGAAGCTTACAATGGGAAGGTGTCAACGGCTAATCTCAGATTTGAATCGGACCAATTTTAATTTGTTCACCTCTAAAAATAATGGGACCCAGTGGCGCAACTATAATTTGGGGGCCCCTAGGCAAAAAAAGTGGAAAATTATATAGGTTTTTCTAAATTTATCATGTGTTAATTAATCATTTGAAGCAGTAATGGCCTTTTGACCGCTTTGTAAACTACTCATGTTTTCTCATGTTTTCTCCACGTAGCGAGTTTGGTCAATAATTGGGTGATATCGAAGAAATTTGAATCATAGATTAATTAAATATTAGCTACAATATCCACCGTATTAAATTCCGCCACTCAGGGTAGTAAGCACTCTCCCAGTTCCTCTACACTTGTAGAGTATTATGACCGTCCCATTGATTTCAAATCATAATTTTCACCCAGTTCCTCACCTGAGAAATTGACGTCCCAACTAAATATGTTTTATGTAATATTGGAAGCTAAACTAGTTAATTTTGCTTAACAGTTGCCCAGATCAATTGTTTTTATGCTAGATCACAAAATAATTTCTTCATCCTTATATGTAAGGAGGAATAACAATTTAAGTTCCTACATAGGTTCTTAATTTCCTCTTTAATTAGGAAGGAAGTATCAGTATGGTGTGGAACTTACGTTCCTCCTCATATAGAGGTAAAAACCAAACCTTCCAGACTGCACTTGGAGAAATTAATTTTCTTGGAGAAAAATTCTGAGCGCTTTTAGCGGAAGAAATTTTGGATTTACGCTTAATAAAATTAACCCAAACCAGGCATAAGAACAGTGTTCCACTTTGGCAAATCAAAAATCATTGTGCACATTCGTATGTTGACTTAGCCAAAAGTATGTATTCAATGGTCAAAATGTTCGGTATCTATATAATCGGGCAAGAACGAATATAAACCCAAAAATTTATTGAGGTAGACTGACATTTGTTAAATCTAATTTGACCGTAAAATTAAATTACATAATTAATGGGCAGACAGAAAGTTGTTGGAATAGTACTTCTCTGAAAGCATAAACGCGTAGTTTTCAGATGTGCAATTTTTTTTACACATTTTTGTGTAAAATAACTTCTTCCATAGCAGAACTGTATTTTTCAATATCTTCAAGTCAGAAATTCCTCTGAAATCGAAATTCTCCAACACCAATGTTTGCAACAAGCTTTAAATATGCCAACGATGGACCTTTGTCTTTGCGATACACATGACAAAGAAAAATATGCACTTGGTCAAAGCAACATTCAAATTTATGACGACCAGACGGGAAAAAATCAGTGTGAGCAAAATGTTTTGGGCTTCGTGACGCGCCGTTGTGCCGTTTTGCTGCGCCGTTTTGCCCATTTGCCGGATTGCCTCTTTGTATGCTTTAGCATAGGGTCTAAAGGAAAACGGCAAGGGGCTTTTACTCCGCAAAACGGATTGCCGTTTTGTCACATTGCCGGTTTGCTGCGGAGTACATTGTGAAAAATTACTGTCCCAATAACTTTCTGTCAGACCTTTAGAATCGCGAAAACGGATTGAGGCCCCCAATGTTTTCCTAGCTTATTGATTTAAAATTGTGCAACTTTTACGGTATCACAATAAAATAGAATTGACGAGCCCAAAAATAACCTTATGATTAAAGATTTTGACATTTTAAAATACATCTATGCGACGCAGTTTTATTTACAGATATTTTATTTTTAATACAGGTAGGTAACCTCGGGGCCCACGCTGGCGCGGTAATTTTTGCCTACCCTGCTTATGTGCTAATTGCGCCACTGATGGGACCTGTATTTTTTTATATAATGCGCCCATTTTAGCGCGTGGCGGGATTTTCAAATATTTTTCCAGCCAAAATTTCAAATTTTCGAATCGCTGTAACTTTTTGAATTTTGGCGCGAATTAAAAAAACAAAAGACGTGTATGATTAGATTGGGTCCTACAATATAAAAATTCAGTTTTGAAAAATTTTGGAAATTCGCGTTTTTAGACTATTTATGAATTTCGAAATATTCAAAATCCCGAAAAAATTCGAATTTTCAAAATTTTTTGATAATGAATTTTTATATTGTAGAGGATCTAAGTCTAAGCATACACGTTTTTTGTTTTTTGAATTCGCGCCAATATTCAAAAAGTTACAGCGATAGGAAAAATATTTGAAAATCCTGCCGCGCGCTCAAATGGGCGCATTATATAAAAAAATACAGGTCCCATTATTTTTAGAGGTGAACAAATTAAAATTGGTCCGATTCAAATCTGAGAATAGCCGCTGACACCTTCGCTTTGTTAGTACAGTTTGGTTGAAAAATCACGTACTTTTAACAAAAAATATGCGAATTTTATAACCGATATTAGCTTACACTTTGTTAATAATCTCTTTGCAGACTTCCATATCGTAGCCCAGATCGACACGACAAGTCGTTTCCATCCTGATATTTTGAAACAAGAGAGTAGAAACTACCATGCTGAGCACGAGGAGGAATCCGGCCGGTTCTACCGACAAATCCTTGCACGAGATCCAAAATGATCTTCTCTCATTATTCAGAGGCATTCTTACTAAGAATTTCTTAGTTCAATTAAACAGAAACTTTTCAAATGTTTATCTGATTTCTTTAAACTCCTGTATTTTGCACTGCTAATTGAACAGATCCAGCTGTATCTCTGTTGGCATACTCAAGTATTCCACACATCTGATATCAGTCTCTGTATACTTGTCTAATAAGTTGGAGATATATCTATTTCGATAATGGAGAGATAAACCTATCAGGCAGATTGGAGTGAAACAATTTTTTATCTATGTTCTGCTTAATCGTGTTATTATGCATTTTTCTTAGGTGAGGCAAAGCCGGAAAGCTGGGCCCCGTTTCAAAAAGCAAATGCAATATGCGCAAGTGGGGCCCGGCGAAGCCTAAGTATGCATTCCGACCCACCTCTGAAAAACTCCCACAAATCTCACGCCTAAACGACGCATCTTATCGAAAAATGACAAAAGGCAAAATAGTTAGAGAATTCCATTTCCCAGGGTCCGAAAATTCAAATTTTTAAAATTTTGAGTAGTTCCGTCACAATCGAATTTTGAAACTTTCAGACGGCTGATGTCTGATTAAAATTTTGACTTTCTTATTACCATAATTGTACAAATTATTCTTTAGGGGAAGCTCTATTTTTCATGCATTACATGTGTTGAGCTAAAAAATTTATTGAATTGGTGATACAACAATTAAGAAATATATTTAGTTATATAGATGTAATTACTAATAGTAACTACAGCCAAATGACCGGGCCATCTAAAAGCAATTGTATGAGTGACATAGTGGCAGACGCTCCGCCTGCTGGGCAGGAAGGCTAGAGTTCGAATCTCCTTGGGTTTATATTTTTGCAACTTTTTTTAACTTTCACATCATCAAAAATGAACGAATTTTTGTCAAAGTTACCACCACACCCCCTTATATTGTGGGGGTGGTCAAAAAATTATTTGGCGACTTTTTGCAAAATAATTTTGCATATTTAATATCTGGTCACCAGATATTAAACAGAAAATTTCGAGCCACCAGATTCTGGCCCAAAACATGAATATATTTACAATTTCACGGGGATTTTCATGTAGCCAGAGAGGGAGGAGGCATTTGGAGGAGAAGCAATTATTTGCCGACCTTTGACTCTACGACCTTGCAGCACACCTGGCGACAATATTCATGCGTACATGTATATGTCGATCAGGTAGTCTAAAAAAATTAAATTCACCACATACGTAGTCCAGTGTGAATAATTTGGTGGATATACTTCCTTACGAATTTTTTTAATCATCGCAAATATGAAAAATTTGCAAACTAAAAAATCTAGTTAATTTTATGTGTTTTAGCCGAACTAAGTGCTTTTGCACCCATGTTGTCTGTCTGTCCATCCGTCGTCTGTGTCACAATAAGTTTTGAACGGATTGACTGATTTGGATGAAATTTTGCAGAAACATGTTTCTGGGCAATGCGACGACCGACTTCGAAGATAGGTTTGATCAAAAAGATTTGGACCGGTGGGGTCATATCAGTGGTGTGCAAATTTAAAAGCAAAGGAGAGACCCTTAGTTTTTTGGCTTTTGGAGCAAAATATTCGAAATGTCGTAACAGGCTGAAACTCGGTATGACGGTCCTAGTGGAGGTAGGAATTCGGAAATGAAGGTTAAAATTGAAAATTTTTCAACTGATGGGACCGGGTGGGGTCACCCCACTGGGGTGACCCATACCGCGTTTAAAATATGCTCCTAGAAACTGTAAATTTGGAAGCTAAATCTCTGGTGGTTTTTAATAATAGAATATGAAATTAAATTGGAAATATTTTCAGCGAAAATATTACCTCTGGGTTAAAATTTTCACCCAGAGGTACCCTATGGAGTAACCCCCAATGATTTTCAGAGTTTATCATAGAATGCCGAAATTCGGTATTGACGCCCGTAATGACTTGTCATGAAATAATACGATGTATGTATAATTTGTAAATTTTTCTACAGGAATGACCCATTGCAACAAATTGATGCTTTTTAATGCAAAGAGTAATCGGACAATTTAATAGAGAACTGAATGTAATATCATCGGAAGTCACACTTTGTTCGGGCTATGCAAAGCTGTACAGAGAAGTTTAGAAAGAGGGAAAATTTATTTTTTCGCTCTGCCGTTCTCCTTATTTTGGAATGTGGAATTTTTTCCAATTTCATACACTAAATATTAAATTTGATTAAATACCTACACTAACCAATATATTTTTTACCCAAATTCGGGTACATATTTGACAACTTAAAAAATTCCTGTTACGAAACAATACCTGGGGATCGTAGATTAATATTGGGATTCTGGATTAAAATTAAGGATTAATTCGAGCAACCGTGGGATAGTGGATTACGATTAGCGATAAATATCCCTAATCAAAATACTATCATGATTACTATAGGATTAAATAAATTGTAGACATTAGGATTAAATTAATCCGTAAACTGTAAATGAATACTTTATGCGATTAGAGTGTGATATAAAATAAATTAGATCCGAATAAAAACTGTAAAATAAAATTCTTTTACAAAAAAGGACTCTTAGGTTCGGCATCGCGGTAAAAAGTGGAAAACAAGTTTATCTTGGATAACAACTTTACCTTAATATTTATTATAATTTGCGATTCCTGCACTATTTGCTGAACCGCGGGCCAATCCTTTCATACGTTTAAATTAAGTACATATATTGTATGATGATAGCTTAACAACTTATCTGCAAGCTTAATAATAATTGCAATAAATAATTGTAAAGGCAATGAAATCGAGTTACGGTAATAATTTTTTTAGTACTTCAATACTAGTTTCGAATCCTAAAACAATCTGGGCAAAGTTTCTTCCGATCCAACCGTTGAAGATTTATATAATCGATTGTCCGCATAAAAGCAGTTCGGCTAAAAAATGGCCCGCGGTTCAGTAAATAGTGCAGGAATCGCAAATTATAATAAATATTAAGGTAAAGTTGTTATCCAAGATAAACTTGTTTTCCACTTTTTACCACGATGCCGAACCTAAGAGTCCTTTTTTGTAAAAGAATTTTATATAATGGTTAATATGGTCAACGTGCAAAAACGTTTTCTGTCAGATCTTTATGGGAAAGTATGTGTGCATTAAATTGTGATGACGTGTATAAAACGAAAACAGTTGTAGTAATTAAAATTGGATGATTCTTTCTAAAAGTGATCAATTAAAGACTGACATATTTATTGAGTCCCTTAAATTTTATCCATTATAGTTGGAAATAACTTCAAGAAATGGCAGAATTTGCAACGTCCTTAAATTTTTCTATTACCCGGACGCACTGTACTTGCCCAGAAAAGCGTTGCAGTTCGGACACTTGTGCTCCACGTCTTGACAACAGCACAACGCACAAACGCCCCACCTGCATGCGGTACTTAGTTTAGAGTCGAAAATAATTAAAATTTAACTTAGAATTTATTAGCACTTGCAAAATGCAGCAGCATTTAGCAGCAGCATTAGGTTGCATTTTTCCTCCGTGGCTGTCCAGATCTCTGTGTGGCACACGTTGCACGTTAATTTCATCGGGATGGAGGAGAATTCGGCCGGAAGTGGCACTATTTGGCGAGGAATCACTATGAGCGGCACTTCTTGATAGCTCGGGGCTAAAAGTATTGGTGTTTTATTAGTAAAAATATTAAATTTTAATTATAAATACGTGATCCTCGAATAATTACTAAAACCTTTAGTAATCGAATGCGGTTTGGAGGGAGCGGCCATTTCAAAAAATCTTTTTCCTTCTGAAATATTGAGCAGGGACTAGAAAAATGAATGAAAATATTGCAAGTGGAGAAATTATTACTGGTGTGGATGCAGAATTTTTGATTACCAAAGAATATTTATGCAGTTATTGAATATATAGTAATTATACAGAAATTCTATATTATTAGACTGGATAATTAATTCATCACTTTCAGGATTGATGAACGTTAGGAGAGTGAGGCATAGCTTGTTCAGTGAAACGTATAATAACTTGTTATCCACTTTCATCCATTGACGTCACTCTACTTGGTAAGTAAAATAGTTGAGGGATGTGGAGTTCACGAATTGGTAGTTGGCCAAATTCAGTGAAATTTATGTTGTGGAACGAGATAAATAGTCGTCGCAACATTATTTCAACCTTATCCAGCTAATCTGATTAAATTTACAACTCAACTCCTATGCAACATGGAAAAGTTTCCAGTACGTTTTCAAAATTTTCTTTGAATTTATTAATCCCGATAAAAAATATAATTTATTTCTCCTTAAGCGAGCCTTTCAATGGGGTCTACTAGCCATACTAATTCTTGGGGTGAGATGCGAAATGGAATACGAGGACCCATTATTGGCCCATATCCCTGAAGTGATTGGTAGGTATCAGCTCTGCCAATGTGATAATTCTTTTTAATAAAACCTGTCGTATTGTAATACATTCCAGACCGACTTCCCCCCTCCAAGTTAAGCGGTGAGTACTATGGCGGGATCCCGATTAATTTTGGAAACACGATAACTCCACTGCAACTCAAAAATACTCCGACCTCCCTCCGTTGGAGAGAAGATAAGCCAGGGCAATTCTACGTGTTGATGATGCTAGGTATTATTTATTCTTTACTTTGATGGAGGGATAATCACTGATAATGAGTTAATTTAGATTTGGACGGACCAACGCCGGAAAATCCTACAACTAGCCCCGTAAATCACTGGATGGTGGGAAATATTAAGGGTGGGAAGGACAATTCTTGGCGGAGTGGAACAGTTTTGGCAGAGTATTTCGGACCACGGCTGACGGAAGGTGAATAAAATTTAAGTAGAATTTTCGAATTTGTTGAGAATAAAATTATTTCAATTAATTTCAGAAATGGGCATCCATCGATTCGTGTTCCTCGTATATGAGCAACCCTCCGGTGGAAAAATCGCATTTACTGAGACATCCCAGTGGACCTAATTTGGCACGGATAAATTTTGATTATCGCGCATTTGCAAGAAAGTATGGTCTTGGGGAACCGTTTGCTGTAAACTATTTTCGATCCTTTTTTGTCGCCGGGGAATTTGAAGTTGAAGTTTGATTAAAAAACGTCGATAAGAATACGTGGAAAACGGCTGATGCAAGACGTTACAAGTTTTTGCTTTAATATGTATAATAAATTATTACATTTGCATTATTAGGCAATTTTTTTGGGGGTCGAGCAAGAATGCACCCAGTCTAAGTAGCCAAAGTAATAAATTGCATATGTAAAAAAGCACGGCTAATGCAAATTGTTATAAAATTTGGTCACTTTTTTATTTACTTCTTTCTCATCGTCATCTGCTTTTGGGCATTAAAATTGGAGGCAATTTTACTAATATTTTGGAAAATAATGAACACTATTCAATGATGCAATTATATATTTTACCATCTTGTATTTATTACTAATTTTCAATTTAGCATGAATCTCACATCCAGGTTCAATTTGAGGCGAGTTACTTTTGTAAGGTTTTCTCTCCAAAGTTTTAACTTATTCCTAGAAATATGAACTACTACAGGACAGGTTCCTCTTTGTCCCCGTAGCCATTGAGACGACGGGAGTATGGGGCAAGGAGGGCCTGTCCCTTATCAAGGAAATCGGATCAAGAATCACCGAGATCACGGAGGAGAAGAGGGCAACATCTTTCCTCCTTCAGAGAATGAGTATTGCTGTGCAGCGTGGTAATGTGGCTGCAATATTGGGATCTCTTCCAGCCGGACAAGAGCGGGACGAGATATTTTTATTTTAAATATGCGACGAAATGTAGGTTAATTAGGTTAGTTTTTTAAGCACTCAGCCCAGAAATCAGCCCCGTAGCGAGCCAAAGTCCGGCCTGGATTTTACCTAAGGTACGGCTCCTATAGTATGTATATACTAGATAGATTTAATTTTTTAAATATATGATGCCTACCAAACAATTGTATGTAAAAATTAATGGAATTAATGAATTAGTGCATTTAGGTTGAGTAAATTGAAATAAGGATAATTTGTAATTTTCTTTTCCATGTTTAAATAATATCTGCTACAAAATGAGTAACGCTTATGTTAAATTTATTTTATAACCGGAGATGACCAGACAACTGAAAGTTAAATACATACTTTACGACATTTCGAAATTGCGAACTCGTCTACAATTGCATCATATGACATATTTTCTGTGTACTTATGTTCAATAGCTAAAATACAAAGATTCGATAATCTATCTTGAGCCATAGATGATCGTAGATAGTTTTTGATAATTTTTAGCTTCGAGAATGCTCTCTCATTGGAAGCAACAGTAAAAGGCAGAGTCAAGAATAAAGTCAAAGCAGAACAAGTATTAGCAAATTGATACTGGAGTCCATTGCAGAATAAGATGTTAAGAATATCCAATGCATTAGTTTTCTCCAAAGATTTTCCGTGCTCTAAGAATGGTTCGATAGCGCTTCTAAAATGTTCCATTTCATTTGCAAACTGCACGCCGTCAAAGTCCTGCTCGTATTTATTTACTAAATCTTTTACCGATTTCACTTTAGAATCAGCGTTGAGTTGGCATTATTGAGCACCCCACAAAAATCCGAAATCGGTCACTGCCTTTTGAATATTTTCAAACCGATTTTTGTACTCTTCAATTAGTTCCGCCACCAACTTGTCAAAAAAAATCATGGTTAAATTTATCTTCATTAGACAGCGGGGACTGGTCGCAAGTCTCAGCTTCTATCCGGAAACGTATCGGTCGAATATTTCTGGTTGCTCTATATTCAAATCCCGATTTTTCGTCGACGCCAAGCTGCAACGCTTTAGACTTTGCTACTTCAAGCGACTTGTTGTATCCACAAGTTTGAAATTCCTGCAACCAATTAAGCAATCCCTGCAAATGGTGAGCTGCTCTTTCGATGGTACATGCCTTCTCCTGTAAAGCTTCATTTGCTACATTAATGCTTGAAAGAATTTTGCTCCAAATTGTAATTCCCAGGAGAAATTTAAAGTTAAAAATTTGTTTGAAGTGAGCTATAGCTTCGGCAACCGTTTGAGCATTCACTTGATCGGAATGAGCTAACTCCAACAAAGCTTCACATATTCCATCAAATTCCTCATAAATGCATCTCATTGCTAAGGCCTTGCTTGACCACCGAGTGTTGCTTTGAGATTTCAATGTTAACTTACAAAATTTCTTCATAGCCGACCAGCGAATGGTTGAAGATGAGAAGAATACGTATAAATTTTGAACTTGTCCAAGAATTAATTTCGCGGATGCAGATTTCGAAGCGGCATTCTTGCCAACAAGGTTAAGGGAATGTGCTGCACATGGAATGTAGGTTGCCATCGGGTTGATAAGTTTAATTCTTGCTTGAACACCTTTGTAAATTCCTGACATGTTACTACCATTTTCATATCCCTGACCACGGCATTTCTTGATGTCAATTCTATCCTGCTTGAGCTGGGTAATAATCATTTCGGTGATTTCTTCACCAGTTTTACCGTCAAATCGGATAAATCCAAGAAAGTTTTCCACCACTTCGGAACCAACCTCTGATAAAGAAACTGTTCGAATAATACAACTAATCTGTTCATGGTGTGCCACGTCGGGAGTGGAATCAAGTAGTAGAGAGAAGTATTTACTATTTTAAATATTTTGCAGGATAGAATCACGGACAGCCGATCCAGCAATAGTAATAAATTCGTTCTGAATTTGCGGTGACATGTAATGCACTTTCCCATGCTGGAGACGATTGATGTGAATTGCCAAAGTGGGGTTATGTTTGCTTAATAATTCAATCAGCGAGAGAAATAAACCGCAATCTTGGTCCTTAATATTCGAAGACGATCCTTTAAATGGCAAGTTGTTCTTCGCCAGAAAAACAATGACCTCAATCATACTAAGCAGCACTTTTCTCCAAAAACCGATTTCCTGATGTAGCTTGTCCTGCAGGGTTTGGTCAATAAGTTTTCCATCCTTGAAATCTTTTAAAAATTTGCACCATTTTATTGTTGACTGGAAATGATTCTGACTCTCTTCATGTGTTTTGATTCCACGACTTTGATGAACGAAATCACAAAATCCAACATTTCCTGGCCCATAATTTCCCCACGGTGAGTTGGAGACTGATGAATGGAGTGATCCGAATAAGCAACAGTTAAAACAAAATAAACTGTTAGAAGTGCTGCAGTTTCTTGTTATCTCCCCAAATTTGAATTGATTCGGATTAAATGCGTGATTATTCCGCCTTTGATATTCTTTTCTTTGAAGTTGAACTGGACCTTGTGCAAGTATTTTCGACTTCTGCAAAGGTGTAAGTGGAATTGGGACGTGCTGGGATCTGAGAATATAATTTTCACCTCACATTCTGTATTATTCTCAGCTGTACATAAATAAGAAATCGTGTTAAACATAAGTTATAGAATAAATATTTAATGTCCCTTTCTAATCGTAAATTACCTTGCTCGATACTTGCTGATTTTTTTGGCACGTTTAACATAGCATGTAGTTCGGACAAATTTGCGAATTTATTTCAAGTCCCAAGTCATTCACGTTTTTCTCCTGAACGATGGAAATTGAATTCTCCAGTTCACATGATAAAGAGTCTGGTTGGAATTATTAAAAAAACTTGTTATCGTACAAATTTAATACTTTGCACTTTCGGGATGTTCCCTACCTGTATCCAAGGACGATGTTGCAACATTGATATTTTGAAGTAAGTGCAAATTATTAATTTGATCTTCTTGCACGCGTACAGCTGGCTGATTATCTAAAATAAATATTGGTCATTGTTAAATATATTGTTTACTGAAGTAAAGTTGGCTTATTGGTTATAAGTATAACACGGAAATAAATAGTTATCTGTATACCTTGTGCGACCTCATTATCCTTCGCTGGGTCAATTTTAAAATATTTTGATGCATTAGCAGCCATCTTCTGATTTTTTAGAGCGATCTCCTTTCTCTTCTTCGCCTTCTGAAATCCACTTTCTTCCTTCCGGTGGGCAATAGGTTTGAGGTTAGGATTCGATGGCCGCCCCATTTCGAATTGTAAAAATTTGTTATAAAATAAATATTTTTCTTTCAGTTTAATCACATGTGAATCTGATTTCCCAACCTACTGTGGATTACTTCGCGGTAAAAGGTGGTTGCTGGGGCAACCCAATATGCAGGCTTTTCATTGATGGTAAAAATGAAAATCAGAAGCTTGATTAAAACGATTCTTGATTTTAAAAATGAGTTTCGATTATACGACTCGTATAATAGAGGCAATTCAAATTTTATCTAGTGCATAGCGCAGTCCGGTACGGCCCTTCGGGCCGTCCGGCCTGGATTCTGGTCTCCACTTAAAACCGGCATCGCTACGGGGCTGCCAGAAATGTTATCGGAAAAGCATAAGTTGAGTTTTTTTTTACATGCAATCGATTCCACATTGTATCAACTTGGAAACATAGACACACCTGTGACTCAAGTGTTAATTAACGTGCACACCTGTCGAATTCATGTCCGCGTAATGAGATAACTAAATGCAAAAAACTTTCAGGCACCGCGGAAGTGTCTCTTGGACAAGTGGATGAATTCAGATGATCACCTATATCTGATTAGGTTTATTGGTATAAATGAGGTGAAGTGATAGAGACACAATATTAACTCACGTCTCAACTCAAGTAATCACCTGATGAGTTTGAACTCATATCATGTCACTTTATTGCGACAAGATGAAATGTCAAAATTTCATATTTAAGTTAGTTTTGTCCCATTTATAGCGAGGTAATTGTGCACGTGTATGTATTTGGCAATAATTAAAATTCCACTTAAAATAGAACAAGATTTGATCTACGGGACATGCTTTTGCTTCATGATAATAATCAGCCCACTAGGTCCAACCAATTATCAAGTGGGGGAATTTGTTGTCCATAAATACGGATTGTCTCAACATAATTTATTCAGTTGCCAATTATTTGCGGTCAAGGTAGAGTAATTATGGACAAGTTTACCGCAATAATGTTGGTCGTCGCGGTTTCTGCCGTGATTTGCGAAAGGAGCGGTAATTTTGAAAAAAATATTAAAACTAAGGGTATACTATATTTTAAATTTACATTTTAGTTCGTATCCTACCAAATGTGCCTTATGGTCCGGATGCGGAGCAGATACTGGATTTGTATCTCCCCAAAAATGAATCGACCAGGGTGGAAAAGGTCATCGTACTATTACACGGCGCAGCCTGGGGAGCCGGTGATAAGGAGGATTTCGCGTCAGTCCCGATTTTGCGGGAGGTTTTACCCAACTTTGTCGTAGCGAATATGAA